TTTATCATATTTGTGCACTTATTTAAACACCCCCCTGGCGCACACTTCTGCAAATTCAATTATATATTCAAAGGAGGCATTCAATTTATGCAAGGCTGGTTTACATTTAATCCGGGGGCAAGTCTCAGTAACTGATGATAGGTCTGCTCAAGATTAATTAGCATCACTCAGATGAGCAGTGGCATTGTTACAAGCCTGCAGTGTAAAACAAGGGATATTTCATCCTTCCTACGTGAACAGTTATTTGCTTCAATATGACCCTTTTCAGGAAAGGAAAAGCTTCTTTCTTGTTTGGGTTTCATTTTGTGAAAAGGGGTCAACACCACATGCGTTATCTAACAATATCAAAGTCATCTCCATTTCCTTTTCTTTTGCCCCACTTAGCAACTGCATTTGTCACTGTTTAATTTTCAGCCAACCAGGGAAAACTCCAAAATCCCAGTTTGCTTCCTAAAATCCTCATTCTTGTTAGCAATTTATGAAGATGTAGAATCCCATTTTGGTGAATGTGTAAATATTTTCACTTTCCTCAAAAAGCTTTGTGAAACTGTGGCTAAAATTATAACCTGCAAAACTGGTATCCAAAGTCATGGAGTGGTATCTTTTTCTTTCAATTTGAGGATTATTTTTAATCTGTTAATGAATAGCCCTGTTCTGCTGCCAAGCAGGTATGTTTCAGTGATGGATATATCGTGATACTGTGGATCTAACTTTTTTCCCCTCTTTTTCTGTTCCAGCATATTTAGATGTAGTCATGTTTAGATATCGACATAGGCAGTGTGTCTTATGAAAGGCTGAATGTTAAGCCTATGCTGACATCAGTGAAAAGAATACATTTGCTAGTTTTAGCCTGTTGGCCCATTTTGGAGTTACTACCCTTATTTAAGTGGACACTTAAAATCTATTAATAAATTTTTAGTTTAAACTGAAATTGATTAGTGGGAACTAATTGAATTTCCAAGGATCTTGCAGCTAGGTGCTTGTGTAGCAAAGTGGGTCACTCAATCCCATTAGGTGAGCACGAGGAGCACCTGTGCAAGTGCAGTCGGTTATCAAATGTACCTTTGCCCTGTGTTTCCTCGCTAGCTTACTTAGGAGCTTATTGTCCTGAATGCACACTTGAAAATAAGAGCACTTTCATCTCCTAGGTCAACAAAGTTCTGCAGGAAAGCTTTATGCCACACTTTTCTCAAACTCTTCCTCCTCATCCTAGTTTACCGTCCTTAAGAAGAGACTAGAGCTTGTAGGGTGAGCTCCG